CTGGGCGCTGTCCCTCAGCTCTTCAGCTCAAGGCTAGCGCTCTACCACTTGAGCCACAGCGCCACTTCCGGCTTTTTTCTTTTTGCTTATATGGTGCTGAGGAATCGAACCCAGGGCCTCAAGCATGCAAGGCAAGCGCTCTACCACTAGCCACCTTCCCAGCCCCTCTCACAGAGTTTTTTGTCCAGCTGGCTTTGAACCACGATCTTCAGATCTTGGCCTCCTGAGTAGTTAGTAGTAGGCATGAGCCATCGGCGTCCAGCTTTTGGCTTTTTTTTTTTTTTTTTTTTTGGTATGTTCATACATTCCAATACAGATGTTTGAACTCATGGCCTCTCCGTTTTCACACCCACTGTTGGCACTCTGCCATTTGGGCCACACCTCCAGTCTGAATTTTTCTGGTTAATTTGAATAAGGATCTCACAGATTTTTTTCTGCCTGAGCTGGCTTCAAACTCAATCTTCAGATCTAAGCCTTCTGTGAATAAATAGGATTACCGGTGTGAGCCACTGGTGCCCTGCTAGGTTGAGTTTGGTTGTTGTCTTTTTAGTCATTAAAAAGTTATGCTGTAGGGCTGGGAAGGTGGCTCAGTGGTAGAGTGCTTGCCTTGCATGCATGAGGCCCTGGGTTCGATTCCTCAGTACCACATAAACAAAAAAAAAAAAAGCCAGAAGTGGAGCTGTGGCTCAAGTGAGCTGAAGAGCTGAGGGACAGCGCCCACGCCGAGTCTGAGTTCAGGCCCCACGACCGGACTCAAAAAAAAAAGTTATGCTGTTCTTGGCTCAGTGGGTCACTGAAAAATAGATAATGGGGGTAGTCTTGGACCAAAAGCTCTGTATAGTTTGCCAATCACTTCTCTTGTTTTTATGGAATATTATAATACAGGAATATGGAGCAAGAAAATTTTCCCTGTAGTCTTGGTTTGATACCATATCAAACTTACTTATATTATAATGTTATGGTGAGTAAGTTTCCAGCCCCAACCAGATTAGGTTAGGGTAAAGTTGAAATTTTCCTTGCATCTTTACAAAGGGAACAGTTTTAACAGAAAAATACATGGACCTATCCCAAAAAAGGATCCACAGAATCTCATTTGCCATGTTAATACTTTATCAAATCCTAGGTCTAACCTACCTGCTGTGTGTTCTTGTATACTTACTAAGAGTAGGCTTCATGTTTTTAAATAGTTAAAAAAAAACCTGAATAATATTTTGGGAAACTGTACAAGATTCAAATTTCAATGTTTATATACAGTTTTACTTAAGGATAACCACATTCATTTAGTATTGCCTATGCTGCTTCTCCACAACCTGGGAAATAAATATCTGAAGCAGACATCATATGACAAAGTTTTTAAACTCTTGATTTACCTATACTTTTTAGTTTTAATTGGAGGATAGATTGTATTCGTCTTTCATGATTAAACAGGGGTGGAGAGATGTGGAAGATAGGAAGTTTATTGAGATATGAGGGTGAAAGAGGAACATTAGCATATTTGATAACTGGAAAGCAGAAAATGAGATTAAATCAAATAGAGATTCCAGGGTTAGGGATGCAGCTCAATGGTAGAGCGCTTCCCTAATACATGTAAGTCCTGTGATTAATCCCCTTCTGTCTTTGGAGAAACAATGTTTTTAAAGGAGTAAAGAACAATATAGAGTACTGCATTTTAAATTTCACTGGTTAAATCACTGGAATTCTATCTAAAAATATAGACCGCATAGTTACAAGCAGAAGCAGCTATGATAATGTACCAAGTTTAGAACCTTAATAATGTAATTTATAATTATAACCTCTCCTGATTTCTTTTCAAATATTAGGTGTCCTAGTTGCCTATGAAGGCTTGCCACTTCATCTTGCACTGGCTCCCAAACTTTGGACTGAGCTATGCCAGACTCAGGTAAAATAAATTAATTTTAAATGATTTGGTCTTTATCTCATATGACCAAGTGAGTCAAGAATTTTAGGGACAGTGGTTTGAAAACAGGCTTACTAGAAATGGAATATATTTTAGAATTAATGGAAATATTAGGTACCAAACCTTGGGCTTTTCATCTCTTCGATTAAAGGGGTTCTTTTACTTAAGATGTATATGTATCACAGAAGATATTTCAAAACGTTGTTTATAGTTGAATTTCTGATACATAATTTAGTATCAACAGTTTTGGGAGAAAGTTCCCAGACAGATTCTAGGGAAAGAAAGCATATGCTGCGGGCTGGCTCAGCGGTAGAGCGCTTGTCTTGCATGTATGAGGCTCTGGATTCGATTCCTCAGCACTACATAAAAAGAAAAAAGCCGAAAGTGGCGCTGTGGCTCAAGTGGTAGAGTGCTCGCCTTGAGCTGAAGAGCTGAGGGACAGCGCCCAGGCCCAGAGTTCAGGCCCCACGACCAACCAAAAAAAAAAAAAAGAAAGCATATGCTGCTTGCAGCTGTTTCATGCACTATTATTCCATAATGTCTAGCAGTTACTATGTGTAGTTTTTTAAGGTGCACAGGCTGTTTGATCAACAGTCCCAATGAAAACAGGCAAAACTACCCGACCTATTCACGTTTCTCAGAGTCATCTTCTTACAAGTTAGCTCATAAATGATAGCTGTTGTAGAGAAAGAATTAGGAAGAATGGGAAGAGAGGAGAAAAACAGATGGACTCTTAAGGTTTGGCTTAGTCCTTGGGTCTGACCTAAAAGAATCCTACTTATCCTTTAAAACTAATTGGTTTCTGCCTGTTCCTCTTCCCCAGAGACAAAGATGAGTTCGTTAACCACTCTTGGACACAAACCTTTACCCACATTCTAGTTTATCTACTTCTTACTAAATGTAATGGTGGCTTTCTATCTCCTTTTCTCAAACAGAGGCCTTTTATAATTATCTCATCCACTGAAGAATTTTTTTGGTGTTGGGGGGCGGAGAGTGGACAGTACTAGGGTTTGAAATCAGAGCCTCATGCCAGTAAGGCAGATACTCTACCACTTAAGCCACAATTCCAGCCCTGAAGAAATGCTTTCTACAGGAGGAATCTTTAAAAGCCACTGATTTCACTTGGCTGAGTTACTGGTTATTTTTCTTTTCCAGTCCTGGGGTTTGAACTCAGGGCCTGGGCTCTATCCCTGAGCCTCTTTGTGCTCAAGGCGAGCGCTCTACCACTTGAGCCCCAGCACCACTTTCAGCTTTTTCTGTTTAGTGATACTAAGGAATCAAAACCAGGGCTTTATGCATGTTAGGCAAGCACTTTGCCACTAAGCCACATTCCCAGCTCCTGTTTGACTTTTGAACTGTGTGGTCTATTTAGTAAATTGGGGAGCTTTGCTTTTCCCTTTCTTTTTTTTTTGGTCCGGTCATGGGGCCTGAACTCTGGGCCTGGGCGCTGTCCCTCAGCTCTTCAGCTCAAAGCTAGCGCACTACCACTTGAGCCACAGCGCCACTTCCGGCTTTTTTCTTTCTGCTTATGTGGTGCTGAGGAATTGAACCCAGGGCCTCAAGCATGCAAGGCAAGCGCTCTACCACTGAGCCACCTTCCCAGCCCATTGCTTTTCCCTTTCTACTGCTGCTATTCTTGACACATACACTACAGATTTTCATAGCAATAAGGATGTGAAGACTTGGGTTCTGGTCCATACTCCTAGTACTGAAGTGACGTTGAACATTTTTTTCCTTTTTTTAACAATAGCTTATATAGCAGGCTGGGAACTGGTGGCTCACACCTGTAATCCTAATTATTCAGGAGGCTGGGATCCAAGGATTCCAGCCGAGGCAGGAAAATCAATGAGACTTATCTCCAGTTAACCAGCAAAAAGCCAGAAATGGAGCTGTGACTCAAGTGGTAGAGTGCTAACCTTGAGTGAAAAAGCCAAGGACAGCAGCTAGCCCTGAGTTGAGGCCCCAGTATCAGTACCACAAGAAAAAATTTTTGCTTACTATAATAAATACACATATGTATACTAGTTACAAGTTACCCTATTTTTAATTTTCATTTTCCATAAAAAGTCTTAATTAGAAAAGGCACTCCAGGGAATTACATCTGTGTAAGAGCTATGACCATTCGAACACAGGAATATCTGAGATACACAGAAAAAGCTATTGCTGTTTAACATTTCAGGGTAGTTATTCACCAAATCATAATTGTCAGAGAATAATACAACTATACATAGAACATATTTCAGTTCCTAAATTTTCTCTACAGTTTGGTTTCCTATTAATTGGATCCCTATTCTCAACCTATTTTGTTACTGTTATTTTCTAGTTCTAGGTAACTCAGTGCTGGATAACAGAGCTGCGTATTTTTTTAATATATTTTTTCACTTTTGGTATTCATATCTTCCCCTAGCATTTATCTATTTAATATATGGTGATTATTGTAAGAAAAGTTGAACAGACTTTTTAAGTTGTTAAGTGCTATTCAAAAAGTGATTTCAGGATGTCCTGACATCCAAAATGTTTTAAGTCTGATTACTTCAGGGCTCAACCACCAGTGCTTCTTCTCCCTTATTTTAGTCTGCCATGTCAAAAAACTGCATCAAGCTTTTGTGTGAAGATCCTGTTTTCGCTGAATATATTAAATGTATCCTAATGGATGAAAGAACCTTTCTAAACAACAATATAGTCTACACATTCATGACACATTTCCTTCTAAAGGTATGTGGTACTTCAGAAACTATCATGTGTCATTTCCATTTTTATTATGTTGGTCTTCTTTTAAAAATGTATCTTTTTCAGGTTCAAAGTCAAGTGTTTTCTGAAGCAAACTGTGCCAATTTGATCAGTACCCTTATTACAAACTTGATAAATCAGTATCAAAACCTACAATCTGATTTTACCAACCGAGTTGAAATTTCCAAAGCAAGTGCTTCTTTAAATGGGGTAAGAACTATTCAAGGAAACTCCTAAAGTTTCCTTAAGCCAACTCTATATTTGGCCCTTATAATATTTTACTATTGTGACTGTAACTACTATAAAACTTACCGTTCTGGGGGTTTTGTTTTGCTGGTCTAGGGGCTTGAACTCATGGCCTGGGCGCTGTCCCTTGGCATCTTTTGCTGAAGGCTATCGCACTGTCACTTGAGCCACAGTTCCACTTCCAGCTTTTTGGGGAATTTATTGGAGATAAGAGTCTCATGGATTTTTGAGTCGTGATCCTCAGATCTCAGCCTCCTGAGTAGCTACCATTATAGGCATAAGCCACCAGACCTGGCTGTTTGTTTCTTGTATGGGTACTGGGGCTTGAACTCGGGGGCCTTGCAATTTGATTTGGCTTTTGTGCTCAAGGCTGGTACTCTACCACTTGAGCTACATTCACTTCTTGGAAGTCATGTAGGATGAAAAAATAACAAATTTTCAAAAAGGTTTTTAATATGATTTGCATGTATATAACTAGTTCTTTTTTTCTTGTTTTGTTGGTCATAGGGCTTGAACTCTGGGCCTGTGTGCTCCGTGAGCTCTTAAGCACTTTGAGCCACAGTGCCTCTTCCCGTTTTCTGGTTGTTAATTGGAGATAAGAGTCTCACATACTTTCCTGCCTGGGCTGGCTTTGCACTTGATCCTCCAATCACAGCCTCCTGAATAGCTAAAGTTTACAGGCATGAGACACCAGCGTCCAACAACACATAGTTTCTATTACCTTAGAAGATCTGAGATAATGGCTTTAAGTATGTTAAGGGGCAGTAAGGCCAGTAAGAATCATTCCCCTTTTTCATTTGTATGTTTAGAACACTTATGATGTTTGTTGTTGCCTGTAGCTCCTTAATAACCAGAACAAATAGACAAATGATTTACTGATTACAAGGGCAGTTGAAACTAGGGAATTAGGCAGGGGGGTCAGTGGCTCATGCGTGTAGTCCTAGGGACAGTACCCAGGCCCAGAGTTCAAGCCCCACGACCGACAAGAAAAACAAAAGAAACTTGGGAATTAGGCCAGCTATGGTGGCTCACACCTATATTCCTACCTACTTAGGAAGCAAAGATAGGAGGATAATTTATAGGCCAGGTTGGACAAAAAGTTAGCAGTACCTATCAAAAACAAACCAGTGGCCAGGAGTAAGAGGCTCTTGCCTGTAATCCTAGCTATTGAGGAGGCTACGAATGAGGGTCATGGTTCAAAGCCAGCCAGGGCAGGAAGGTCCGTCAGACTCTTATCTCCAGTTAACTACCAGAAAACCAGAGTGGCAGTGTGGCTCAAAGTGGTAGGGGGCTAGCCTTGAGCCAAAGATCTCAGGGACAGCTCTCAGGCTCCAAGTTCAAGCCCCATGACTGACAACAGCAACACTTCCTCCCACCCCACCAAAAAAAAAAAAAACAGGGCCCAGTGCTGGTGGCTCATGCCTATAAATCCTAGCTGAGAATCATATTGAGAAGCCAGCTGGAGCAGACAGATCCAAGACTTATTCCAAGTTGTGTTTCAAGTGGAAGTGCTTTCATGCCTCAGCTGATGGGAGGGATGCAGTGAATCAAAAGCACAAGGCCTACAAGCACAAGGCCCTTAGTTCAGACCCCAAGGAAAGTAAATGTGTTCATTTAACGGAAATGATTTGTCAAAATGTTAGCTTTAAAATGAGCTATTCCTATTTGGATTTTTGTAGGACCTACGGGCACTTGCTTTACTCCTGTCAGTACACACTCCCAAACAATTAAACCCAGCTCTAATCCCAACTCTGCAAGAGCTTTTAAGCAAATGTAGAATGTGTCTACAACAGAGAAACTCACTCCAAGAGCAAGAAGCCAAAGAAAGAAAAACTAAAGGTTAGTCTTATGGATTAATTACTTTGGGTTGGAGATGAAAGAATACATTTGGTGTAACTGACTTTATATGTGTGTGTGTACACACATTTATATATTTATAATATATACACACACACACATATATAGTTTAAGATTTGGCTTCTCCATTGCTATGCTCCAGTATATTAAATGGCCCTGAGAGAAGTCTCCACTTGGATGTGTGTGTTCACAGATGATGAAGGGGCAACTCCTGTTAAAAGAAGGCGTGTTAGCAGTGATGAGGAGCACACTGTAGACAGCTGCACCAGCGACATCAAAGCAGAGACGAGGGAGGTCCTGACCCCAACCAGCACTTCAGACAATGAGACAAGAGACTCTTCAATTATTGATCCAGGCACTGAGCAAGATCTTCCTTCCCCTGAAAATAGTTCTGTTAAAGAATACCGAATGGAAGTTCCATCTTCGTTTTCAGAAGACATGGCAAACATCAGGTCACAGCATACAGAAGAACAGTCCAACAATGGTAGATTTGAAGATTGTAAAGAATTTAAAGACCTCCACTGTTCCAAGGATTCTACCATAGCTGAAGAAGAACCTGAGTTCCCTTCTACTTCCATCTCTGCTGTTCTGTCTGACTTAGCTGACTTGAGAAGCTGTGATGGTCAAGCTTTGTCCTCCCCAGACCCTGAAGCTGCTTTGTCACTCAGTTGTGGCCATTCCAGAGGACACTTTAGTCACATGCAGCAACATGACATTTTAGATACCCTGTGTAGGACCATTGAATCTACAATCCACATGGTCACAAGGATATCTGGCAAAGGAAACCAAGCTGCTTCTTGACATTAGATGTAGCATGTCTACTTTTAAGTCCCTTCTCCTGATGCTGTTTGTATAAGTTTTGCTTATTTGTTTTTGTGCTTCAGTTTGTCCAGTGCTCTCTGCTTGAATGGCAAGATAGATTTATAGGCTTAATTCTTGGTCAGGCAGAACTCCAGATGAAAAAAAAAAAAAAACAAAACTTGCATCTTCAGTAACTTTCTAAAGGGCAATCAGATAATGAATATGTTTTATGTAATTAAGAGTTCACTGTAGTGGCTTTTGTTTAATATGGCTGTCTGGGAGAAACAGGGTTCCCTAGCCCTGTAAAATGTAATTTAAACTTACAGCATTTTTACTGTGTATAATATGGTGTCCTCTGTGCCAGTTTTGTACCTTATAATAGAGGCAGATTGCCTCCAATCGCTGTGGTTCTTATTATCAAAATTAAGTTTACTTGTATACGGAACAACCACAAGAAATTTGATTCTGTAAAGAATCCTCTTTAGCTGTGGCCTGGCAGTATATAAATGGTGCTTTATTTAACAGAATACCTGTGGAGGAAATAAAGCACACTTGATGTAAAAATAATTGTTTTATTTTTATTGACATGACTGCTATTCTGTGCACTTAATTAAATTGATTGTGATGACTTTTCATTTGTTTACATACGTTGCTTCAGTCTTCTCAGATTAAAGTAATGAGTTAACTGAAGAAGGGGAATAAGCAGTTGTCTAGTTCAGTACAAGAATTAGTGGTAGTCCAAAAAAGCAACTTACCCCATCTCAATCCACTCCATCCCAAAGTGGACCAGAGGAGTATAAGAATACAGCCAGCTAGCCTCACTTTAACATCTTTTCGAGTGAAACATGCCACAAATAGACCTACATACCTATGAGCTACATCTTAAAAACCCTAAAGTAATAGAATACATGCCATTTCTTTTTTGTCTTCTTCAGACTTAAAAGTACAGCTGAAAGTAAGCTTACTAGGACAAGCTTTAGCTTGGGACACATCAACTATCTGAACACACAGACTTGATCTACTTTCAGAGGAACATCTATGGAGGAAGGGGAGATTAATACCTAATTTCATGATTTTACTACGTTTAATTCAATGCAGAGTCTAATTATAGGTTCATGGATTCCATCCAATATAAAATAAATTACAGCGATTTGTTTTTTAAGGAAGAGGTAAACATGACAGCTTATAAAAAGCAATGCCGTTATAAAACCTAATTCAACCACTTAGGGTGGTCGGCTGTAGTAAACCTTTTATTTCTTCAAAGTGCTGCTTCTGCCAACAGGATCGCATGTTTTCTTCCTTACAGACAGGAACTCCTTTACAGTCCAATTGTAATTCCGTCCGCCCTAGAGTAGGCACAAAACTCAGTGCAACAGTTGCATAGTGTTCTAGAAGAAAAACAGGAGCTTTATTATTACATTAGGAAAATGAAGACTTACCCATACCAGCTTCTATGTTTACTGGTCCTCTATACACGAAGGTCACATCACATACCTTCTGGCCAGTTCCTACATCTCCATTTCATGATGATCTTTCTATTTGTTAACTGAAAGCAAAGGGGAAATTCCATTGAAAACATAGTATGAAACTTCCCACAGAAAACACAGAAGAAATGAATCCTTTGAACAGCCTAGTCTTTACTGCCAAATATTCACAACATTAATACCAAGGACAGAATACCAACAACAGAAAGCCAGTGTCAAGGGGAGGAATTAACACTTTGAATAATTTAGGTAGCAGAAACAGGACATTTTGATAGGCTAAACCTGGAATTTCTTTCCTTCCTTCCTTTTCTTCCTTCTATCTGTCCTCTGTGCTGGTCCTGCTGGGGGCTTGAGCTCAGGGTCTGGGCACTGTCCATGAGCTTTTTTTTTGCTTAAGGCTAACACTCTACCACTTGAGCCACAGCTCCACTTTCATCTTTTTTGGTGGTTAATTAGAGATGAGGAGTCTCATGTACTTTTCTGCCTAGGTTGCCTTTGAACTTCAATCTTCAGATCTCAGCCTCCTGAACAGCTAGGATTACAGGTGTGAGCCACCAGTATCTGGCAAGACCCATCTTCAAATACTACACATTTGCACAATTTCTATAAAACTTAGACTTTATCAGTGTAACATTTTGTTTGTTTTTTAGGGTCCAGTCGTGGGGCCTGAACTCTGGGCCTGGGCTCTGTCCCTCAGCTCTTCAGCTCAAAGCTAGTGCTCTACCACTTGAGTCACAGAGCCACTTCCGGCTTTTTTCTTTTTTGCTTATGCAGTGCTGAGGAATCGAACCCAGGGCCTCAAGCATGCAAGGCAAGCGCTCTACCACTGAGCCACATTCCCAGCCTATCAGTGTAACGTTTTTAATTTGTTCTACAACTTTCATGTATTTTTTGATCTATGAACTCAAAATAGCATTGACAAAAACTTTATTAACCAAAAGAAGAGTTAGTTACATGTTTATACTTTAACCCTGTCCTGTGATACTTACCAATTCTATGTATTCACCAGTGATATTCCCATCAAACATTTGGAATCTCCCTCCCTTTTCAGCTTCCAATATAGCAGGAGATTTGGAAAATTTCTGCACCAGCTATCCAAGCAAAATGAAGACATTTCATCAGAGAGAGAGAGACAGTGTGTGCTCAAATTCAGCCTTGGTCATGCTAGGCATGTGCTTTACCACTGAGCTACATCCCCATCCCTATTACCTTTTTAATCTAAACATAAAATGTGTAATAGAACACCATGGAGTTTCAGGCTTTTGTTTTAATATGTAGCTTTTTGTTCTCAAGGAGAAAACAATACTCATCTCTCCCCTCAAATTATCCAGAAGTCATTGTTGGTTGATATCCCTACCATCTCAGAGTTCTCATAAAATATGACCAAAAGAGACAACAGCCAGGTGCCAGTGGCTCATGCCTATAATCCTAGCTACTCAGGATTTTGAGATCTCAGGATCATCGTTTGAAACCAGCCTAGACAAGTCCACGAGACTCCTCTCTTTATTGGAAACTCTTCTCTCTTTATAGTTTATTGCTATTCAGAAAGAGCCAAGAAGTAGTGCTGTGGCTGAAGTGGTAGAGCACTAGCCTTAGGTGAAAAAGCTCAGCGATAGTACCCAAACCCTGAGTTCAAGCCCCATGGCCAACAAAAAAAAAGAACAAAATCCACCCCGTTCTTTATGACACATCTGTTCCCAGGGTGAGAATTTAGGACATTAGCTCAGGAAGTTACTTACATCTTTCACAGTGAAGATGCTATATAGCTGGTCTACTGTTGTGTCAAACAGCTCCGTCATGTGTACAGCCACAGTGGGAATCCTCACACCCAAAGCCACTGGAGATGAGGCCTGAACCTCAAGAAGAGGTTCCAGAGGATAGTAAGCATACCAGAAGAGAACAATGCTAGGATGAAGTCAAGTCTTCTCAATAAAATGCTTTTGAGAGAAACATGCCACAAATTCCACACTATTTCACACCCAAGAAAACAGAGTGAAGGCTTCCCACTTAGCTCTAACAGTGCTATTCTAATCCTTCAGCAACAGTGCTCTTGTTCCTATGATCTCATTAACTGATGTATTACCAGGCTCGACGGAGCACCCTTACTCCTATTTGGACACGGTAAACAACATGGCCAGATGATATGATGGAAGATGCCTGCTGAAGGCTATCGTTACACACACAGACACACCCATGTTCCTCAGTCCCAATAATAAGATCTAAAATCTCCCCAAAGATAGGAGAGAAAGTTATTTCATTTGTATTCCTACCTACCAAACACACAGCCTTTAAGACAGTTTTGAGTTAAATGTAGTACCCGGAAAAAAAAAAGACCTGTTTATACATTCCCTTCTATCAAGAATGGAAGTCTTGGGGCTGGGAAGGTGGCTCAGTGGTAGAGCGCTTGCCTTGCATGCCTGAGGCCCTGGGTTCAATTCCTCAGCACCACAAAAAGAAAAAAGCCGAAGTGGCACTGTGGCTCAAGTGATAGAGCACTAGCCTTGAGCTGAAGAGCTGAGGGACAACACCCAGGCCCAGAGTTCAGGCCTCATGACCAACCAAAAAAAAAGAATGGAAGTCTAAGGCTGGGCATACAGCTCAGTGGTAGGGCTAACATGCACAAGGCCCTGGGTTTACTCCCAGCAACATACAAAAGAATATGTCTCATGATTTCTATAACCAAATGGAAAATTTCAAAGGCTCACAGAAGATGGAAGTGCAGATTAACACCCTTCCTCACTATCCTTCAGTTGCTCATCGAAAGGTTGTGTAGAGCTCTGACTTATTTTGGCCACCAAAACTCATACCTGCAAGGTGTTCTCACTCAGTTTCCTTTTAACTGTCAGTTCCTGACTTGCCACAGCTTTTGTTGGTAAAATCATTCCTGTTGTAAATTCTATAAAGGCAAAAAATGGTTTTATTAAAACAATAAAACAATTTCCTCTGAAACACAGAGGATAAAGTAGAAAACAAAATCACATGAGAAAATAAAGAACTGGCATTTAATAAAAATTCTTAAAGAATTTCTATTAGCATTTAGAGGACTTCAAAATCATTCCATGTTCCACAGTAACAAAGGCCTTTTATTCTTTTTTCAAATACCTTACACTTTCTATCATGCAACTAAAAAAAAAAAGAAAAGTGTAGTTTACAAAAGTTCCAAGTAACAATGTTGTATGATTAACTAATAGCATTGTGGCCCTCTCTTACTGCTTCCCCACACCTCACAAAGAATCTTAGTCTTTGTATGCCATCCATACCATGTGGCCTCATACTGTGGGAAGAGTGGCAATCCCAAAACTCTATACCAGCACCCAGACACTCAGCAAGAGGGTACAAGGATGAGGTGCACAGAAAGGGCCCTGCTAGACATAGTGCCTGTCCGGTAGCTTCTCTAATTCTCTAATAACCTTGCTTCCATGCAGTATCGGAATCATCTAGATGTATATCTCAACTACACCTGTAATACCTGCAGTCACTTTCATACATTCATTCAACAAAGACTTATTAAGCACCTACTATGTGCCAGGCATTGTGCTAGATGCTGGAGATACAGCAGTGAATAAGACAGACAACTTCCATGTTCTCATGGAGATTATAGTCTAGCAGAAAAGACAGACATTAAACAAGTAATTACACAAACAACTGAATAATTTCATTCCAGAAAACTACTTAGCATCCTGAGAGCAAAATAGTTCATGTTGTACACATACTGAAGATCACTAATCACATGACTAGCTCTAGACATCCAGACTACAATTTATTCTACCGTATAAAGACCTGTGAATCCAGACCACAGTGCAAAGCATAACTTGGGTAAACAGAAAGAGGACCCTCTTATTCACAAGGACGCCTTCTTTACCCGTCTTAAGTGCCTTCAGGTACTCTCCCAGGGCCTCCCTGACCTTGGCGGTGCCTGCAGTTTTCATAAGATCCTTCAGTAAATCCCCATCTCCTTTCTTTTTACTCACGTTCACCTACAAATCAGAAAAATAAAAACCTAAGAAAAATCTGGTTTCATGTACTCTTACAACACTAGGTCCTGTGGATAGAGATATGTGAAAATGGCAGAGGGGAGGAGATGGCATTGGACATGTACAGGTTTCTTCATAATGTGCTTGTAAAGGATGCAAGAGTAGAAAAATTCTT